GCAGAGAGCACCTCACTGATTTGGGCAAGCAGGAAGTAAGCATGGCCTCAAACTCCATTTTTGAAAAATAAATGTGAGGTGGCCTGAGGCCTGTAGTTTAGACCCTGAGGCTTCCAGGTGTTCCTCCAGTGAGTTCACAGATCAGATATGGCACCTCATTATTTGCTGTTCCCTTCTAAATACATCTAAATTTAGACTGAATTTTTTTCTCTTTTGGTATCTCTATTCTGCTTTCAGCTAACTTCAGTCAACCAGAAATAAGTCTAATTTCTAATCAAACAGAAAATTCTAACATCATAAATTTGAACTGCTCATCTACACAAGGCTATCCAGAACCTCAAAAGATGTATATTTTGCTAAAAACTAAGAATTCAACCACCGAGTATGATGCTGTTATGAAGAAATCTCAAAATAACATCACAGAACTGTACAGTGTTTCTATCAGCATGTCTTTCTCCATCCCTCCTGAAACAAATGTGAGCATCTTCTGTGTCCTGCAGCTTGAGCCAACGAAGACACTTTTCTCCCTACCTTACAATATAGGTAAGCCTGCTTCCCCAGACTTTCTTTTATCTGGTGTATACACAGATGGTTAAGGTAGATCATCCAGTGTCCTCTGCTTGCCAGGAAACCTCCAACTGGGCCATTTTATGAGACTGTCAGGAAAGATCCAGACAGAGGGCTCCTGTTTCATCTGAGTGCTACAAGGTCCAGAAGGCTATGAACTTATGCTGCACTTGAGAAAGCATGTTCTTGGCCCTGACGCTAATCCAGTTTTTTAGGCTACCTTTGGATAGAAGATTCTGAACCTTAGGTCAGAAAATGCAGGATTCCTCCAGGCTAGAATTCTTCCATTCATTAAAACACATACACACGCACACACACACACCACGAATGCATACAGAAATACAGCACTTGTTATGAGTATGGAACCATTCTAGACATTGTTGGTTGCAGGGGAGAAAACCAAAAGGTATAAGACATGCTCTCTGCCCTCAAGGACCTTCTAATCCTGTGATGTACACACGTGGTAAATTGGATTTTTAAAAGACTGAATTGGAATCTAAATTATATCCTGTGGGAAGATGTGACTAAATTTAAAAACAAGAGTGACTGATAATAAGTTTTACAGGCATTCAGAAATAGGCAAGTTCCTTGAGGGTCAGTGAAGGCCTCCTAAATGACGTGTGACTTTATATTACCATACATTACTGAAATACTTGGGCTTAATAATGTGGTCAAGAGATGACAGGAACTCAAATTTGTGGTGGCTTCCTGAACAGAAAGAAAAATTCTGAAACAGTATTCAGGCTTGGGAGGTGAGAGGGCCACAATCAATGAGTAGTATCTGCCATGCACTCAGGCAGTGGTGGTGGCACCAGTACCCGTGGGTCAAGGGAACACAGAAGCAGAGATGCTTGTGGCATGTTGACAGTGTAGCACAGGGACCAGTCCTGCTGGAGGAAAGGGTGGAAACCAAGCAGTGTCCACTCACAGGAGCCTGCCGTTTTAGAGTCCTGGCTTTGCCCTGGAATACATCCACATTTGAAACGTCACTCTTGAGGAGCAGAAACTGCAAGATTCTCTTCTGGAATAAAGGCAACCTGCACCCACACTGCCCTCACCAGTGCACTCCCCCCACCCATCTGCCTTCTGCTTGCCTCGGCCCCTCCTCCAGCTCTTGGTTTGCCTCCTCCTAAGGCATCCATCCAGCTCCTTGCTCTATCCTCTGACTTTGATGCCCCCTCTCATCTGGTGCCTCATTGTTCAAACAGACAATCCCCGAGGCCAGTCCCCACCAGCCAGCTTCGCTGTACCAGTGAGCCAATCCCCTCTCCTGGTGTTGGTTTCCTTCTGATCAGACACCTCAACTCTTGAGAGTCCAGTAAATGGCGAGGTCACCCAGCCTGTCCTGGTTGCTTCTAGTGTAGCCTCTCTTGGCGTGATAGAAGCCTATCCCACACTGCCCTGAAGTTCAGCACCTTCCTGGATCTGACAACATCACCACACAGGACACGCCCTGCGGCCCTCAGCCATGGCTCCCACAGGCTACAAAGGAACAGAAGGAACAGGGCCCTGCTGCCGCTATAGTCCGTCAGGGCTCAGCTTTCATCTGCTTCTCACCTGCTGCCAAAACCTTCTCAGCTGCCAGCGGCTTCAGAAATGTTTCAGCTCTAGCTGCCTCAGGAAGACAGGGCTTGCCTCTCTCTGTCCCTGCTCTATGGCTAGATCAGAGATAGGTTAGGCCCTGCATCAAAGAACCCTTTTGGGTATCAAAAGATAGCAGTCTCCATATTAACAAGTATAATTGCCCTCCACCTTACTAGGAATTCCAAACAGGCTCACATGGGATACCTGGGACAGACTCAAAGTGTTGGATGTGGCCTGCCATGTCAACCACTCCTTTTCTGAAGGTCCCAGGAACAGGACATGTGTGCACAAACTGTGGCTAAGCCAATGGGAGGTCAGCTGGTCCTATTTTCCTGTAATTTGAGATTAACTACCAGAACTGTTCCCATAAATGTCTATGAAGTGGGCCACTCAGTTCTAAGTTTCCACCCCCTGACCCAAAGCCTGTTTTTCAACTTCATGGATACTTAGGAGCTCTTATGCCAAGAAGTAAATCTGACCTCCCAGGAGATGATTCGGACTCTGATCACTCAGGGCATGAAGAGATGTCAAAGGTCTTCTAGTAGGTGAGATATGCTAAAAGCCATGCTTGAGGAAGCCCACTGTGATCTCCGTAGGAAAAACAAACAAAACTGGAGGTAGGAGGCCTGTGAGGAGGCTGTTATGTTTCCCGGGAGAGAGGTGTCTGGAGCCTGATCTAGAGATGATAGCGGATGGAGGAATTACTACAAGGGAAGCTTTGAGACCTGGGGCCTGATCACATAAGGGGCTGAGGAATCAGGATGCTGCCCAGATGACTGCACATTCAGAGCCTCAGCATAGGTACATTATCCAGATTCCAGAACCGAGGGCCAAGCTGACCCTCTTTTAGATCACAGTCATTGTCAGCCCAGCCTCCGGGAAAGAAAGGCAAGGCAGCTCAGTCCAGGCATCTGGCCAAAGGCACTGGCTTGCTTCTCAGTCAGCTGCTGAGGCCCCGAGACTGGGACCTTCTGTGGCTTCACATGGTGGATTTCCGACTCCTCTGGCTATAGAGCCCTGGGAAGATGCTGGCATGTCAATAAAGAGAAGAGCAGTAATTATAAAGCTTTTATAATCAACCTGCCTGGCTGATTGAAAACTTGGGTTCATTTTTAGATGCAAAGCCACCTGTGCCACGCCCCCATGTCCCAGACCACATCGTCTGGATTGCAGCTCTACTTGTTACATTGGTCGTGGTGTGTGGGATGGTGTTCTTTCTAACACTAAGGAAAAGGAAGAAGAAGCAGCCTGGCCCCTCTAATGAATGTGGTGAGTCAGTGCTTGTCCTCTGCAGATTGTCACTTTGCAGCTCCTTCCTGATCAGCAGTCGTCTGGAGCTCGCTTGCGGGCTGAGCCCAGGCTAGCAGAAAGTCAGCAAGCGTTTGGAAGAAAAGGTTTCCTCATATAGGTGGGACTCAGCAGCTGATAAGGTTGCTCTGGATTTCTAGGAAAGACAATGTTTCTAACTTAAGGTTTACAAATGTACTCCTGGTTTCCAGACAAAGCTGATGATTCCATGCTTTACCTACTTCACATCATGAGGTGACCGTGAGAATTCAATGGAGTAAAATGGTGACACTTATAAATGCTCATGATTATGGACCCGACGGTGGTCAAGCAGGGATGTTTGGTGGGAGTGGGGGAGGATTAGATGACCTTAAGATCTGCCTTCTCATCTCTAAAGGTATAGGTTTCCTAAGAAGTAAGTTAGATGAATTATTCCTCACTGACTTTAGAAAAATAACATTAACTCTTATGGATTACCAAATATTATGTATGCATTACCAAATATACTGAAAATAAAAATCACCTATAGTTCTACTAATAAGAAAAAATGGTTAGACAGACAACATTTTAGAGTACATCTTCCAGATTTTTTTATGTATAAATCTATGTTATTTTTCCATAAGTGGGATAGTATTATAAACACTATTTTTCATAATTTGTTTCTTAACTTTTTTATACTAAATGTAGGAAGAAAATTTTCAGTGTCATTAAGTATTATTCTACAGCATCATTTTAAATGTCTGTGAGATACTACTCCATTATATGGATATACCTTCGGTTGTTCCCATAGTTTTGCTGTTGTAAATAGTACATTAAGCAGCTTCCCCATTGACTTCTGTTGTAACAGTGGCCTGTGTTTAATGGGGGTAGGGGCAAAGTAGTCCCTGACTTTATAATAATCCCATGCCTGTTTGTGGTTTGGGCTGGTTTGGGTGAAGTTGTAAGATTAGTTTGGACTTTATCTCAGTAACTGCCTCCACTAAAAGTTGGTTAGTGCAAATAATTAAGGTTATCTTCTTACTCATTTATCGTAAAAAGGTACAAGATGAGTAATGCTTCTGGTCAGCATCTTAAGATTTCACTGTACTGATTTTGAGATCCATCTAGAAATAGATGGAGGACATTAGTAGTCATTCATTTCATCCTGCTGTGTTTTAAAAACAGGAAATTTGGGAGTAATAATCCAATTTCAATACACTAATACAAAGCATATGGCAGAGCCATTCAAATCGCCAAAGTACAGGATATACTGAGAGAGTTCTATGATATAAAAGTGTAAAATTCACAGCTCAGGGTTAGATAGTGAGATATATCATGTTGGTCCAGACTTTGACTTTTCAAGGTGAGAGCTTTAAGCTTCTCTTTCTCTCAATCTCATTGCCGTTTAGAATTAGCTAAATGTGCAGAAGCAACCTTCAACTTGAAAATAAGCTATCTCCTAAATTTACTTTCATGTTGGAATGATTAGCTTACAAACAAAACAAAGAAAAGGGATGGAGAAAAAGTGAGTAAGAATGTTTCTTCCCCTAATAAGCAGTCAGAAAAATTGAGAAGACTAGAGAAGGGAGTTAAAGAGGATGTGTCTATACACATGAGAGAGTTGGAAGGGTGTTCAAGAAGCTATCAGTTGCATTTGAGATGGTCAAATTGAGCTATGAGTGTTAAAAGGCAGAAGACAACAACAGAGCAGCGTACATATATGACCCCCTCCAAGAGTGTGTTAAAAAATATTGGTACAAAAATGTTGTTCAGTCAGATAGATAGTCATCTGTGCCGGTGAGTTTGGTCAGAGAACAGCCTTGATTTCATTGGTGCAGGGAGATGTACCAAGTAACCACCCATGTAGATATGAGATGTTTGTAAAATCGGATTCTGTAACTTCACCAATGGCTGCACTTGCTTTGTGGCTACCCCCTGGCATTGGCTGTATGACAGGCCACCAACCAGATGTCCACCTCCTATACCCCAGAATCTATACCATGTTATCTGACATGGCAAAAGGGAATTTGCATATGTGATTAATGTACTGACCTTAAGATGAGGAGATTATCTTAATCATGTGAGTCAGAGAACCTTTCCCACTTGGATTAGAAAGATGAAATGGAAGGAGGAGAGATCCAAAGCTTGAGACAAGCTCAACCTACCATTGCTGCCTTTGAAGATGGAGGGAGGGGCCATTAGAAAGGAACGTATGTGGCCTCTAGAAGCTGGGGATGACCCTCAGCTGAGAGCTAGCAAGGAAATGGGGATCTCAGTGCACAAGAAACTAAATACTGCCAACAGACAGATATGGAAGCAGTCATGACCCATCCACAGAGACAAAAGCTTACTGATGAGTAGATATTTCTTCAACAATGGAGCTTCCTCCTAATCCAATATTAATCCTTTTCTCAAAGGAGACAGCCTTCCAACTAACTTTGTGCCAAAAGTCCTTTCCAGTGTTTGTTCAGTAATTATAGTTTTTCTATGCCTCAACCATACATATTTACCCTGTTTAGGTTGTTAAATGAATAAAAGGGAAATGCCATGGCTGTTCTAGCTGGTTTCTAATCCTTCTTCTCTTTTTTGTTTTGTCAAATAGAGCAGTTAAGGCATGAGAAACTGTAACCTTGAATTGCTGTCTTTTCCCAATCAGAAGTTACCCTGTCAGCTTACCCATTGGGGAGAAAGACTAAAATAGCTCCTCCTGAAGTTTTACTTCCTCATTTGGTTCTTGTGTGGCTGAAATGTGTATCTAACAGTGCCTTAGCAACCTACAATTTTTACAGCTTGCCTCCCTCCACCAAGTCTAGAAGAGTCTCAGCTCTTTTAGGAATGATTTCTTAAAGGGCAAATGTCTTTCCCAAAATAAATCATATTTAATCACCATTTAAGTGGAAATTTCACAGGGCTTAAAAACTGAAACTGCATGATATCATCATATCTACCCTTCAAAATGCTAAATTTGTAATCAAATCCAAAAGTTTAGAATCTGCCTTTTTATTGTCTGCTTTCATTTTAAAATAGGTTTTCGTTTTTTGGTTTTGGGGTTTGTTTTTTTGAAATGTTGATGATTTTGTCATGGATATGAAAGGATAATATACTTATTTCTTGTTGGTATACAGACATATTGTATTTGGCAATAAGCACCATTATTTTTAAGAGGAACTTTGACAAAAATAGAACCTAACCGGATTTATAAAGCATCTGGAATCTCAGTCAAACAAGAAATAGCTCAATAACTGAGGATGCTTAGCCAGAAATAAAGCCTTGGGGAGGACACAAGTGCTGCCTTGAAATATCTGAAAACTGCCATAGGCTACAAAGATCATACTTAACTGAGGCTCTAAAGGGCATCTCAACAGATAAAGGTTATAAGAAGGTATAAGGAAATAAGAGGGGCTTTTCTAACAATTAAAGCTCTTTTAAAATTATATAAAATACATAGACTTCTCCTTCCTCCCAGGAAGGATTAATGGCTACAGGAATTGCCTTCTGGCCGTAAACAACTAAAATCAGACAAAATATATGTAACAACTGTTTTCAGACATTGGACAACAGGCTGCAGAAAACTGGAGTCCCTGAGAGAAGGGAAAAGATGAGGAGAGCCCTATGATTGCCCACAACTTACTGCCTGGAATCAGTTTCTAGACTGCTCTGAAGGTAGGGGGAGCCCTAACACCAAAACTAGAAAAAGACATTATAAGAAAAGAAAACTATCTCTTCCTGTGAACATAGATGCCAAAATGCTTTACAAAATTAGTAACTAAAATCTAGCAATATATTAAAAGTATGATACATCATGATTAAGTGGGGTTTATTCCAGGAATATAAGGTTGTTTCAACATCCAAATATCAAGAAATAAAATTCACCACATTGACAGACTAAAAAAAGAAAAAGCATGTGAATACAGAAAACATGTCAATGGATACAGAAAAAGCATTTGGCAAAATTAATACCCATTCATAATGTTAAACAAGAAAGATAAACTCCCATAAAAGTAGGAATACAAAGGAACTTCCTCAACCTGGCAACGGACATCTACCCAAATCCTTCAGTTAGCATCATATTTAATGATGAAAGACTGCCTTTGTCTAAGATCGGGAATAATTGCTTTTGTCTAAGATCACTGTCACTGCTTTTGTTCAGCATTGTACTGGATGTCATAACCAGTGCCACAAGTCTAGAAGAAGACAGGGCACACACATTGGAAAAGAGAAGTAAAACTTCTGTCTTGTTTTTTTTTTAACAGATAACATGATCACGTTTGTAGACAAGCCTAAGGAAACCATTAAAAGCTATTAGAACTGATTGAGCGTAGCAGGATACAAAGCCAATAAACAAAATCAATTGTATTTCTGCATACTAACAACAATTGGACACTGAAAAACATTAATACCATTTACATAATCATTAAATAATATTAAAGGCCTTGGAATAAGTTTTTCAAAAACAAGTACAAGACCTGTATGTATACTGAAAACTAAAAAAAAAAAATTAGTACTGACAGAAATTAAAGTAGACCTAAATAAGTGGAGAATTATGCCACGTTCAGGGTTCGGAAGACTAGATATTAAGATCCCAATTCTCCCAAATCGATCTATGGATTCAATACAATATCAGTTAAAATCCTGGCAGGCTTTTTAGTGGAAATTAAAAAGCTGATTCTCAAAGTTATGCGGAAATGCAAAGGACCTACAATTGTCAAAACAATTCTGAACCGTGAGAACAAAGATGCAGGACTTACACTACCTAATTTCAAATTTCACTATACAGTGACAGTAATCAACACAGTGTGACAGTGGTAAAAGGACAGGCGTATCAAGCAGTGGAACCAAATGGAGAGTCAAAAAATAGACACATGGTTTTGTCAACTGATTTTGGCAAAAGTGCCAAGGTAATTCCATGCAGAAAGGTAATATTTTCAACAAGTGGTACTGGGTCAATTGGATATTCACGTGGGAAAATATGAACCTAGACTGACAAAAAAGTAATTTGAATGGATCATAAACCTAAATATAAGAGCTAAAATTAAAAGACATTTGAAAGAAAACACAGAAAATTTTGTGAGCCTAGATTAGGTGAATCTTAGACAGGACACACAGTAAGGACAAACCATATTATAAAAAGATAAAATTGATACATGGAACTTCATCAAAATTAAAAATTTTTGCCTTTTGACTTTGTTAAGAAAATGAAAAGTCAAACTATAAACTGGGAGGAAATGTTTGTAAAATATAAATCTGATAAAGGACTTAAAGCCAGAATATATATATACACACACACACATATATACACAGATGTGTATATATATATGTGATACATGTGTATATATATCAGACCCAGTATTAAGAAGACAAACCATATAACAAAAGGCAGAGAGCAAAAGACTTGAACAGACGCTTTACATAATAAGATATACAAATGGCCAATAAGCACAGTCACACAGTTATAACGTCATTAGTCATTGGGGAAATACAAATTGAAGCAATAATGAGACACCTCCACCCACTAACATGGCTAAAATTAAAAGGACCGATAAATATGAAGTGTTGGGGAAGATGTAAAGCACCTGAAATTCTCACTGCACTGCTATACAACCCAGCAATCCTAGACAGTTAGCCATGAAAAAGAAAGACATACGTCTACACAGAAACACACACATGCAAACGTCCATAGCAGCTTTCTTCATGATACTGAAAACCGGGCATCCTGAATTTTCATCAGTTGGTGAATGGATAAACAAGTGGTGGTACATTCATACAATGAAATACTGCTGAGCTACAGAAAAGAATGGACTACTGGTAACATGAAACAACATGGATGAATTTCAAAAGCACTATGCTAAGTCAAAGACACCAGGCACAAAAAGACTACACATTGTATGATTCTATTTATATGAAATCCTAGAAAAAGCTAAATTATTGTGACATTAACCAGATCAGTGGTTACAGGGGATGGAGTGGGAGGGGAAAGGAAATGATTGAAAAGGGGCTGGAAGGAACTCTGGACTTCTATAAATGTTCTATGTCTTGATTATGGAGGTAGTTTCATGACTGCATACATTTGTTAAACTCATCAAAAAGTACATGGAAAAATAATTGGACTTTACTGTATTATACTTCAATAAAGCTGATTGTTTTTAAACACAAAGAGAACTGCCAACAATAAGAAGTGTTCAAAACCATCAGGGGTGTTATTGAAAGGATTCCTGCGGTCCCTAAATTCCTCCATGGACACTCAGGTTAACGACCCACGCTGTAAGACTCTGACTGGGACAGTAGCACCATGACAACAGTCAGCCTAGAGGAATTTACAGCCCAAGTTGCATTAGTAGGAAGTCCACACCAACAGTAACTCAGGCATTTGGAGGACTAGGCTGCTAGACATTTCCCACTTGAGCCTGTCTGTGCAACACTGTGTATTATTTGGTAGTGACAGCTGGCTAACCCATTTAGGCATCAACATCTTCAAGACTTCCTTTTCCTCCCCCTCTAAACCTTACTTTCAGAAAAGGATGGGAAACTTTTTTCCCATCACTAAGTGATTGCTAAAATTAAGTGTGTTACACCTTCCAGTAGTATTTTTATTTTAGCAAAGAATAGAGCCTTAAGTGAAAAACCCATTCCCAACATTAGAACTTCAGGCACAATGAGCAAAGGCAGGCATTTACTTTTTGGATGAAAGAAACTCCTTCTCAGTCCCCATGAAACTGTATCAACGGAACGGTTTACTCTACCTATATGGCCACAATGATTTTTCTCTGAGTCCTAGGACTTAGGGGCCTCTTTAGACGCTCCCTCTTTTAGTATCTATGGGTAGTAAATTTTCTCAGGTTGCTTTTGTCTTTTTCAGAAATCATCAGAGTGGAGGAAAGAGAGAGTGAACAGACTGAGGAAAGGTGAGTCCTGACTCTACAACATTGTTGAAAGAGGTACAATCCCCAGAGAGTCCACGACTTTAAAAATAGGCTTAAGTCTGAAGCATGCTGGGACCTTAGCATACATTAACTAAATGGAGAGGAAAAGGAAAGTGAGACTAGTTAGGACCTGGAGGGAAATATCCTAGCTATAAACGGATGGCACTGTGCCCAATGCATGATGCCCACAGGTCATGGCCAGCTCAGTATGGTCAAGTAAAAAATTAATACCAAAGGGGTCTGATGTGGTGAGCATGGGCTGCATCTTATTCACCACAGTAAACCTAGCACGGTGCCTGGCCAGTGGGTGTCCCACATGTGTGGGCTGAATAAATATTAAGTGAGGAGTGATAATATGTTCTCTGTAGCCTCAGTGTCTTTGCATCTGCTTGGATTGTTCTGCTGCTGCTTCTTTACCTCATTCTTTAGATCTTGGCTCAAGTTGCACTTTCTTAAAAACCTTTCCCAAACTACATTATGTCAGCCTGTTATAATGTCATGTGGATCCCTGTGCTTTTTCTTCATAACACCAGGGTATAATTACCTACGTGTGTAATTATCTTATTAAATTCTATAAGCTGAACTAAACCAGACTCTACAGAGGTCAGGGAACATATCAGCTAAGCTCATCATTATGCTGCCAGCACCTAGCACAGTGCCTGGTATATAGTAGGTGCTCAATAATTTTTTTTTCTTTTGTGAAACTACAGCAGCACATGTGTTTGAATCTATACAAAGTAACCTTTTAATAACAGTTTTCAGTAGTTGTAATTTTCATGGTGAATACTGGTTGAGTATCATAAGACTTACTTAAGAATTTATATAAGACTTACTTATAGAATTTATATCCTAATGGTTTGGTAACCATATAACATGTTGAAAAGAAGTTTTGTGGAAAAGTAAACATTCGTCAGAGCTTTAGTTTTTCTTACATTTGCTTTCAGCTGAGTAATAATTTAAGTTGCTTGATTTTTATTTATTTTTCATTTATTTGGCTTTCCTTCTAGATCCTTTACCTAATCAAATCCAAACAACAGCACTTAAGTAACCCTAAATACAGCATAGGGGGAAATGTGTATATCCTTTTTTTTATATTAACTTTTGTTCACATATGAGGGCTATGGAAAGCAAAATGCAGTGAGATGCATTTTTTCTTTTATTTTAGAGTTCAAGTTTTCAGGTTTTTTAAATTCAGTTTATTTAAACTTAAAAAAAAAAGTTTTACCCATTTCTCCCAGCTCCCTACCCTCTCCACCTCTAGCAACCATCAATCTGTTCTCTGTATCTATGTTTGATTTTTCAAAATTATTATCTATTCTTAGATTCCACATATAAGTGAAATAATACAGCATTTATCTTTCTCTGTCTTATTTCACTTAGCATAATACCCTCAAGATCCATCCATGTTGTTGTCACAGTTGGCAAGATTTCATTCTTTTTTATGGCTGAGTAATATTTCTCTCTCTCTCTCTCTCTCTCTCTCTCTCTCTCTGTATGTGTGTGAGAGAGAGAGAGAGACAATTTCTTTATCCATCAGTGAACACTTAGGTTGTTCCCATATCTTGACTTTTAAATATCTGCTGAAAGACTGAATGTATGCATGAAGGACTCCACAAAGATTCTTGGCGATCTTCCCTTTCACAACATGATGCAATCAGATTGTCTGTACATCCACCTGCTCTGAGAAACTGAGGAACTGGGCTCTCAAGAATATCAAGGCTCTGGTCATATAGTCATGGGCTCAAAGTAGCTCTAAGTCAAAAGCCTCATTACAGAGATATGGTCATTGCCCCAGGGTGCATAACCCCCAGTGTGCCCAGCACTTATCTGGATACACCAGCTGCTGTGAGTCTTAGAATCCTGGATGGTGAGCCTGGGTGCAGAGATCTTGCCTGTCCTGTCAGACCCAGTTCAGAAATGGTCCGGAAGAGCCTGGGGAAGGAAGGGCAGCAGGGAATCAGTCAGGCCCAAACAAAAATCAAAGACAGTTCTTTGGGAAGTGTGGAAGGCACACCTCCACCTCTCATCAGTAGTTCACTATTACAGTGTCCCCCTATATTCTGCCCTATCACTGAAATCTAAAAAGAGGAAGTGGCTCTACTGTGAAACCTGACCAAACTCCTTTTTCTATCTTTCCAGAGTAGAATTCCACGAACCTGAGAGATCTGATGAAGCCCAGGGTGATGTTAACATTTCGAAGACAGCCGCAGGCAACAAAAATGCTACACATTTTTAATTAAAGAGTAAAGCCCATATGACTCCGTTTTTCACATGCTTTCCTTTTCAAGTTTTGACTGACCTTTTTCTTGTCTCTCTAAACCTTCCCAGAAGGCAAGAAAATATTACTATTAATAATAGCAGGGGCTGCAGGACTCCCTCTAAGTGAAACAGCCTCCCTGCCTATGCCAGGAGCAGATTTTAACTGTTTCCTTTCGTTTCAGAGCACACTTACAGGCCAGGCCCACCTAAATGATTCCTGGCTCAGGAATCATGTGTAAGATTCTCACTTTCTGTTTCAGATTTAGTCTCCTTTCCTAATTGTGTAAATTATGTTTTGTGTAGAGCTCCCAGTTCCTGGAATGGTGGCTTTTCTCTAAATTCTCAGGCAGTGCCTCATTCCATCTTGGACACCTGTGACTGAACAACTACCTCTTCAGTCTGGGTGGGAGTTTCGTGTTTTATGGCCTCAGAGTGTTAATATTAATATTCTGAAATATAAACAAATGTGTACTGTAATAATGTGCTTAACAGGAAAGTCCAGCCTCTGCTAAGGAGTTCTTGTCCCTCTGTGAGGGTAGTAAGGAAAGTGGGGGCCCAGTGTGCTAACAACAATGAGCAAACCAACTCAAAACCTGGGAAATTAGGAGAGACGGAGAAGGAACCAGTTCTGTAGCCATTCCTATCTGGGCTATTGCTAACAGTGAGGAGGATCCACCTGCCCAGGAAGCTACTGCTAAGCCTTAGCAAAGAGCACTGGATAAAGCACGAAAGTGCTGTGCATCATAAACCCTGCTTCTCTTCTCGGAACGAAATGACTGATGTCATGGCCTGGGACAACTGTGCAAGAGCCAACAGAGAGACCTCAATACTCAAAAGGGGAAAAACAATGAAAGATCTTGACCAATAGAGATATGCATGAATGTTTCGTCTGTTCAGTCCTTTGACAAGACTTGGGACAAGCAACAGATGGACAGTCTGTCCAAATGGACATAAGGCCGACAGCAGTTTCCCTGGAGGTTGGTGAGGAGGTTTGATGGTAGCCAAGTTGTTGTGATGTTTCACCTGGCTGGAAGCAGAGCTGGGGAGGGGAGAGCTATCATCTTAATAATGGGGTGAATGCAAGGAGGCTTAGGACTCTTTCAACAAATGGCTGAGAGAGAAGGAGCTGGAGTGGAATTAGGAGAACCAGGATGCAAATCACCCAGAGACTGGCTCAGCCCACAGATGTCCTAAGGAGATCTTAGGACATTTGCCAGAAGAGGGCCAGCAAACTTGAGTCTGAGGACAGTCTATGTGATGTCCTCACTGGCAGGAAAACTGGGTGCAGGAGAGGAATATAGTAGCTCAGTAGAAATGAGGTAGGAGACCCTGGCTCTAAGCAGCATCAAGGGACAGAGCAGCCTCAGTCCAAACCTAAAGAGAACTTTGGAAAGCCCAAGCTACAGAAATAGCAGTTCTTCTTACTCGACATAAAGGACCCTAAAGGGTTGTAGACGGCTGTGCTGGCCATGCTTGTACTTGTAATATTACCGTTCGTGTGCTCTGCCCTGCCCTTGTCTTTTGTTAGTCTCTAAGCATCTTGCTGTTTCCTAACATGTTTTGTACAGAGCTATTACCAATAAATTTCTATTAACTTGATGTAAAAGTCTACATTTTCTTCTTCTATTTCAACAGGACTTACAGTCTGATATTACTCCCTCTGTCCTCCTTATGGACATCCTTCCTCTTAACATCTCCAAGGTAACCCCACTCTCCAGTCACCGGGCTAAAAACTTCTGACTCATCCCAAACCCTCTCCTCTTCTCCTTCTCCTAACCACTGTGTAAGAAAGGTGGTCTTTTGTGAATCTATATGTGTATCTTGGTAATGAGACATATGTCAGGTAAGAGAGATTGTTTCTGAGGACAACCGGGAAATCTGGAGTTAAGGAAGGGATACTTGCTTTTCAGTTTGTAATGTTTTATACTATGCAATGTGTGCTCATTATGTACATTAAACAAAAGCTTAGTATAAAAATTCCTTGAAAATACTTTGGTTATAAAATAAATGCATGTAATTGTATTGTATATTTAAATGTTGCTAAGAGAGTACATCTTGAAAGTTCTCATCACAGGAAAAAAATTTGTAACTATCGTGTGGTGATGGATGTTAACCTATCGTTTCATAATATATACTATATCAAATCATGTTGTACACCTACAAATACTACAATGTCATGTCAGTTATAACTCAAAAATAAATAAATACATACATACATATAAATGACATGTGAGAATAGCCAGGGAAATTCTGGACAGAAGAAAACTGTCCAGGCTCTGAAAGGGCAGAGATGCGTCTAATTTCTCACCAGTGGGTCCCAGGCACCTAAGAGGCATCTCAAAACTATTTGTTTGTTTAAAGATTGAATGAAATATTAACATGCCCTCTGGTGTAAACATCCCCTCTTTGTATATTAAATTTACTAGACCTTCTGTGTTTCAAGTCTGGGGAAAGAACTGCAAAAAAGGTTGCAAGTGGTCATTAGGCATAGTTACAATAGTACCAGCTAACATTACTGGTGTTTATTTAGTACCAGGCACTCTTCTAAACCTTTAAACTCATTATCCCATTTAATCCTCACCATCTCATTTAATACCTCCTGTGACATAGGTATTGGGATATTATGCCCATTTTGCTGATGAGGAAATGTAGGCACAGAGAGGTCAAAGCGATTTACCCAAGGTCACCTAGTAAGTAGCAGAGTTGGGGAAAATTTTGTGAATCACCACCCCTTTCACCCCTTTACTTCCCAGCCTTGTGTTTTCTGGCTATAGAAGAGGCAGTGTTTTGGTTGGTTACCCATTGAGGGCCTACGCCCCACCTTACACTACACTCCCTCAGCCCGGCTAGGCGGTACCTCTGGAAGACCCATCACTGAGTTTTCCAGAAGCCAACCCATCGTCTCATAGGGCCACAAGCTGTGGGTTATAAGGCACATGATAGGACCACTGAGTATGAGGTCTGGTCAGAGGAAACGTGAACCACAGTTGCTGACTCCAGCTCCTCCCCCTCCACCCCTGACACTCACTATTCTTTTGCAATCCACCCCTCTCCCTCTGCTATCTGAAGCCAGCTCCATCCATTCAGTGTCCTCACATTTGTGAACTCAGGCTAGAAAGCAGGGAGTCATCTCTGACCACTGCCCTCCGACCTTTCCCTAGGCACCCACCGTCCACCCCACCCTCCTGCCGCATCCAGTCATCACCAGGCCAGCCAAGATTCCTCCAGCTTTAGCACCCACCTCCTCTTGTCTCACTCAGGCCCTTATTTCCTCATTCCAAGAACATGACAATCACCACCCAAATAATTCCAGTCTACTGTCTCTCTCACCCTGCATTTTGTCCAAAACATCAAAAGGAACAGGAGGAAAATAGTGAAAAGGTCTCCCTCACATTCCTTTTCCCTAGCTACGCAGAGGCAGCTCTGATCTCCAGCTTCTTCTGTATGTCAGTGTGTGTGCACATGTGTATTGACTGTGTGTATTCATATATATACATATGTAGTGTGTATATACATACATACACACATACACATATATATGTGTGTATACGTGTTTTCCCCTTATTCAGGCAGATTTGGTTTTATTCTATACCTAAGCAACCTACACAACTTAAACTAAGGCTCTTGCAAAGATAATTTAGAGTCTTTAGAGCAATCCTTCAAAATAAAAACACACTTCTTTATTGTATTCATTTTCTGTCTTATCCATATGCCAGCATGTTTATGGATCTTATAAATAAGTGAGGTTCCATTGGCCTTCCCCAAAGCTACCTGTTCACTCCAAGAGAAAAAAATACATATAGATACAGAGTCCTGCACTGTCTTCACACACAGATTTCTGAACCTGTTCCAATATGAACAAGTCACATCTTAGGTCTGGGGAACAACAGTCATTCTCCACCAGACCTCCTGTTTCCCACATTTCATATATTTGTCTTCCTTGATTACTCAATTCACTTTGGTTGGACGTACATATCCACCAGTAACTTTATGAGAAAGGATATGTGGGAAGTAAATTTAATGACATTTTATGTATCTGAAAATGTCTTCACCCTACTCTCCCATTTAATCATTTGGCTTAATAGAGAATTTGGGGTAAGAAGTAATTTCCATTGTCTCTGGCTTCCATTGTCACTCTTGAAAAATCTATGGATATTCTGACTCATCTTTTTTACATGGAAGCTTTTTGGATCTTTTCTTTATCTCCAGCGTTCTTAAATTTGTAATGAAATGCCTGTTTATCCACTATGACTAAGATCGAGGTGGCCTTTTCTAGCTGGAAACTCATGTCCTTCACTCCAGGGAAATTTTCCTGCAGTGTTTCATTGATGATTTTTCCCTCTATTTCTCCCACCTCTTATTCGAGGATACTGGATTCCAATGTTATATCTCCTAGAATGATCCTCCTATTTTCTTATTTTTCTCTCCTCTTTGTCATCTATTTGTATTTTATTCTTTCTTAAAATTTTCCTCAACTTTATCTTCTAATCTCTCTGTTGTATTTTTGTATTTCTGCTATCATGTTTTAATTTCCAAGAGCTCTTTTTTTGTTTCTTTTTCCAAGGACCTTGTTCTTCATGGTTGCAATATCGTCTCTCAACTCTCTGACAATATTAACTATAGGTTGTTTGTTTAAGTTTTATTTTTCCAGCATTGTCTCTATATCCTCCAAGTTGTTTCTTCCTGTTTGTTTTTCTACATTATCCATGTTGGAGGATTCCTCAAATATCCGATGTTCTTTGGATGCCTGTTCATGACTAAAAATGCAGAACTGAAAATTTTTTTCAAGGATCTGAGTCTATGGATGGTCTTGTTAATTTTAGCTTTACCGTAAAGGGATCTGGTGGGAGGGCTTTGTTGGAAAATTATTTTTAGGTCCTTCCTCTTGGGCTGGTAGTTTTCCAGTATCTTGCTGAAAGGTAGAAGTCTGGCTGTCAGCATTTTGGGAGCCGGGTGAGAGAAGAGGGGTATGTGTATGTACGTGTATGTGTGTGTGTCTGTGGTGTGTGTGCGTTAGTGGTGGAATCTCTGAAATCTTTATTCAATATGTATAAATTTACTTTGTCCATATGTTTTCAGTACGGTAACTCCAACCTCAAATGAATGAGAGGTCTCTACTCAAACACTTTCTGCTTTTCCCTCTCCAGAGAGCAAGACTCCAGTTTTCTGCCGAGGTGGAAGAGGGAAGTTGCCCAGTGGTGTGGAGTGGGAAAAAGAGAACTCAGCTTCTCAAACAACTTTTACCCAATCTTCCTGATTTTTACCCTCATCTTTCCCCTCAACACTCACCCTCACTTGATTTCCAGCCTTGCCAGTTCCTGAGGTTTCTGATGACTGTGGGGTATAAACTGGGTTATTTCTTGGTTTCCACACTGACAAGCAAGATTTGGCTACCCTGCCTTGCTAAATTAGTTGTCATGCATCCATGTACTTTTCAGATTCCAAACTGTTGTCTCCTTTCCTATTCTTTTTTTTTAATCTTTTGTTATGGGGGGGGGTTAGGTTTATTTACTTAGTTTTAAAGGAGGCACTGGGGATTGAACCCAGGACCTTGTGCATGCTAAGCATGTCCTCTAGTGCTTGAGCTATACTCTCCCCACTCCTCTCCTATTCTTCTACTTTAAATTTTAAAATATTTTTTTCAGTCTTAGTGAAATTTCAGGAGGTAATGGAATTGGATGTATTTAGCCTATCACCTTACCTGGAACTTCACTACTCAAAATTTTTAAGGACTCTACATTTGACTGCCTTCAGCCTAAAATCCAAAGTCATCAACAATGTGACTCAAAACCAACCCAACTCTTTACCAATCTTATTTTTCCCTCTTCTCATATTAGATATCCATGATGCTGTCAGATATAGCTACTAATCATTTCCAAAATATAGCTTGTATTATCTGGGTAGTTTTCACTTATTCTGTGTCTCTGGAATAATTCTCCCCAGCTCTCTCTGTTTATTGAACTCTTGTTCATCATTAAACTTGGCTCAAATACCACTACTTCTGTTGAGACACACATCTCACCACTACCCAGGCTGCACACAACTGACACAATATCTTGTGATCCAAGAATATCCATTCCAGCAATAATTCATTCCTGTTCCAATGCTTTCCTTCACCACCAAGCACCACAGCTACGGCCACTGGTCAATATATACGGTAGCTCCAGGTTTCCCAAGGGGAACTTCAAGCCACTGAATAAGCAAGCGTTCTTGTGCATAGCCTTAGTCCTACACTCCTTGGTCTGGACAGTTTCACACTCTACATGCCAACTTTTCCCCAACCATCCTGGCTTTCAACCACCCAACTGCCTCCTGTACTTGTCACACCACCTAGACTCAACAATCAGTTCCTCCTCCCAGGTTAGAACTATAGTTTGCCACTCTAAGAATGCCTTGGATTCACTTCCTTAAAAATGTCACCTCTGGCCACCAAGGATAATCATCACCTCTCCATCTCAGCCTTTAGAACCCATTATTTCAGAGCATTCACATCAGACCAGCTCTTCCCAGCCTACAGGAAGCAGGATTACAGAGTACATATATGACTTTGTAAGAGAGGTAGACGTATCTACCCTGTATCTACCCCTCAATTTTAGTAGAGATCCTTATTAACTAAAGCAAAACCTCTCATTTCATGAAATCACACAGCTTTAGAGCTTAAAAGAAGTCACATAGTCCTTGGCCTTCTTGGAAGGTGGAGGCTGGGTACCACAGAAATTGGGAAGCTGTGTCTGGAGAGATGGGAAAGACAGTGAAGACTCACTCAGAGATGGGTGGGGTGGTAGCAAGGTTAAAGCAGACTGAAAAAGGAAAAAATGTCCCTCTAAAGCAACATTTTTGAAGCTTGCGACACTGTAAGCCAGCATGTGACAAAATGCTTCTAATTATGTAGGCAGTTATCTGTCTGTTCCTTACACCTTTCTTAAGAAAATATTTTCCTGTTAACAGTGCATTAACAAGCATAAAGGAAACAAAAGAGATCAAAATCAGTAGTTCTTACATCTTATGAAGAAACACATGAATTTTCACACTTCTCAAATTATTGCCTATTAATCTACACTTTCAATTACAGTGATTAATAAATGTTCTTTGGCGTGCAAGGGGGCTACATCTCAGTGTGTGTTGTATCCTAAAGTAGTTCTCTTATTTCGGTAGAGTCTAAATCAGAATCACAGAGCTGCGGCTGTCTACTAATGACACTCTCAGAGAAAACTAGCACCTAC